GCCTAGTTTATTTGCTCCATAGGCTTCATTTTTCAATCAACCAAATCAGTCAGCTTCAAATGTGCCTGTGCTTATGTGCACTGTCGCAAAATAGTAACAAATGCCATGCTTTACCTTCTGACCCCGACCCTGACAGAATCAGTGTCGTTATCCAACACTTACACCCCCCTCCCCAGTATTGATTGATTGACCGTCAACCCTATTCCCTAGGCTGTCCCCAGAAGATCTCCCTGCGGTCTGCGTTGCGGTCAACGTATATTTTATTCAAAACACGTCTTAGTCCAGACTGTGCCAACGGATCACAGTACGAAAGTCTTAATAAAACGAAAAAGTTCTATAATTTGCAGTGGACGGGATACCGCCTGGTTTCCCAGACCAAGACAGATGAATTTTCTAGGGGAATTCACAACCCCAGTCTTCGGTCAGCCAAAGCCTGACCCGCAAGGCTGCCGGGCAGCGTGTGACAACTGCAGTCCATTGGGTGCTGGGGTCCAATTCATCGAATCATACGTCCTTTGGATAAGTAGGGCTTCCTCGGCAGAGGTTATTTGAACCGCTTGGTGGTATGTGAGCATTGCATGAGATGCAAGTGACGGGAGATCAGTCAACCCGAGTCACCCACCCCGAGAATACTGATGCTTCCGGAGTCAAGTCATATATGCACATGCGAGTGCACGGATCTGAGGCAGAATGTGTCTCTATGACCTTGTGCACCAGGATTTCTTGGTTCAAACCGTGCAGAACATCACGCTAATGATTCGCATATTTTAACTTCCGATCTAGTCCCCAGTGGTGAAAGTGAAACTTCGACTTGCGTTGTTTAAGAATCTGACTATTTGTTATACAGGAACTCTTAATATACATGAATGATAATTATTTTCTGCTAAATCATTAGTTACAAATTTTCTTTTCCAAGCGTTTCTCGAGGAAATTATATTAACCAGGGTAAATGATAGGTAGTTCGGTGAACTGAGTGCCTATGAGAAGCACGCCGTGATTCATCTTTTCCCTGAACCTTTATAGATGATCTGGACTAAAGGTTCAAATTATAGATCAGGAAAGTCAGTCCTGATGTCTGTCTTCAGTTGAAGAAAATAACAGCTCATAGACGAAACTGAATTGGGCAGAATAGTCTGGGAGTGCTGGAGTACACGGTAGATTTCTAACTTGACGATGCACTTCATATGAAGTTGTCTGATTTTCCTCTGACGGCATTGTGATGTCTGTTGATTCTTCCTCTGTTTATCTTCCCAAAATGGACACTTAGATTGGGCTGATAAAACGCTTTCATATTTTCAATGTTCTCTCTTCGTTAACCAACTTTTGTGCATGACATTTTATTGTGTTACCGGTGATGAAGGTTACACTTATTTATTGATGTCCATTGGTCATAACAATGTCATTGTGTCCAAGTGCTCCAGTAGCGTCATACAGATATACAACCATTTGTTTACTTTCATTCACTTTCCCCTCGCTCTAATTTGCCGTATACGTGTGGGATAAAGCTAGATTAACTTCTCTATCTGCTTTTGATCAAACTCAACATAAGGCCATTCTTCCCGTCAATATAATTTCCTGCTACTAGATCATAGTCTAGCGGTTACTCCCTCATCCTTGTTTTGCCGTTAATCCTTTGTTTTTGGTTCAATCGTATCTTTCGCTTCCAACTTTTCCTCCTCGTAGGTTCTGTACTCATGCAACTAATCGGCTGTTTCATGTGACTGTCTTTAAGCGTAACACTTCTAACTTCCAGTCTTTTTCCCAAGGAAAACAGTTGTAGAACACTCCCGTGCTGTCTTCCTTCTACTCTACATCTTCGTCTTTAAATGTCCAATTGAGAAAGTGGTTTCAGCCCGAATTTCCCCTTCACTATACCAAGTACAAGAAGCATATCCTTGGGTCATGGGCTTAAACCGTTTTACTGTATTGAAATGTGTGGAAAACGCGTCTGTTAATCACCACTGAACAACTCGTTTTACATTACAGATTAATGGCTGTTTCTTTCTTCCCCTTTGTTGTTATGTCCATGATTTTCTGCAGCGTGGAACGACTCCTGTTTTTTACATGCTTGGAAGTGACGCACATTCTCACTTATATCCACTCACATGTTTAAAAACCCTAGGGTCTTAATTTTTTCTCAAGGTTTTCAACTTCTTTATGGTTCCCGGCTTACTAATATTTTATCAAGTTAATGAATGGCCTAATAAAAGAACACGGAAATACTGTATCATGATTTGCTAATTAACCTTACTTCCTGTTGAGACCAACTTTCACTCAGTTGTTTTACCAGTCCGTATTATTGGATCCAGGGTAAATGTGATATTATATCGCCCCGCGTAATACAGTCTTTCTACTGTTTGAAAAACTAAACGGTTTGCGTGTGCATACTCCATTGTTCCTAATCTCCTTCTCAATCCGTTCAGCCTCGCTTTACGCCGTTTAACCAAGACTTATGATTCAGTTGGTCGCCTTAGCCATCGTTCACTGGCTGTGGATCGAATCACAATGGCCGTGTTGCCTACCGAATGTTTCGGTTTACTCGGGGTGAATGGAGCGGGTAAAACCACAACATTCCGGATGATTACCGGTGATTTGGACTCGTCCGAGGGGTTGATTTTGATCAATGGATACGATGTGAATAGGGAATTGCGAAAGGTGCAGCATTCGTTTACGTTAAATTATTGTGAACTTTCTTGTGATTTGTTATGCATTGCTTTCTCATTGGTTTTATCAGCTGAAATTGTTCACTGAAACATCATCTATGATTGCTTGTTGTCTATTCGGTAGAATTTTATTGATCCCAATCGGAAGAACCGCGCTTGTTCAACTCAGCTGTATTGGTCACCCACGATGCACGTGGAAACCTTGTCACTATTATGTCTTTTCCCTTCTGTTCTTCGTTCCCTTTTGAATTATACATCCTTACTTCTGTAAGGAGGTAATTACCAATCGCCATTTTAGTTACTATTGGTATTTTGCGCGAGCACATAGAATTCTTCACTTGATCACGACAGTTTATTTTCAGATTACGTTTTCTTAGGGTAGATGATAGTCTTTTTTATACGCAACTTACTCTGACACTTCTGTGAACAGTGTGCATTCAGTCTAATTGTTATTCATGCCGGAGGAGTGTGTAAACGCCAGCCAGCAAGCGGATCCGGGGATCGAATTGTTTTGTGTTATAAAATACTCTTCCGGGTCAAGTGTATTCACCTCTGATAGTGACAGTACAAATGGTAGTTGTGTTCCGGTTCGGCCAACATTGAATTACTGATTGGGTGTCTTGGAAATCGTTTTCTAAATGCAACTGAAGCTATTTTGAATGGATTGCATTTTCGGTCATTTAGTCCAAAATCCGGGCTATCCTTTTTCCATTCTGGATTCTGGTCTATAAGTAACTACCAAACAGTTCGCTGTTTCCAAACTAACTCATTTAATTCGAAACTGGCATTTTCATTGTTGACTATTGACTAGCTGGTTTCAGTTTCATACCAGTATTGTTGTCCTTGGTAGGCTCAACGATCGATTGGCTATTGTCCGCAATTCGATGCACTGCTCACCTACCTCACGGGCCGTGAAACACTTGAGTTTTATGGTCGCATCCGCGGTCTGTTGGACAGTCTTGTCAAAGCAGAAGTAGAACGCTTGCTACACGAGTTGCAGCTTACTCATTACGCGGATGTTCAAGTGAAGCACTACAGTGGTGGAAAGCGGCGTAAACTCAGTGTTGCAGTTGCACTGATTGGAGACTCACCACTGCTCTGTCTGNCTCTGTCTGGACGAGCCAACAACCGGAGTAGATCCGCTATCCAGACGTCGTGTTTGGAACGCTATTATCCGACACAATCAACGCGGTCGCACGGTCTTGCTCAGTTCGCACAGGTATTTTAAGTCGCTGTGGATCATCAATGTATTTTACTCGCTTCAACTGTATGCTTGTCTGATACTGACGGTTTCCAGTATCTGTTCCATTAGGTGTGGCTACGAGGCATTCTCCCATTTTGTAATTTATACCGTGGTACGCAGTGGGCAAGGTGAACTCAATTGAGCCTGATGTTAAGTTATGAGGGACGAAGCCTAAGCCTCTGTCTTAAATGAGATGGACTCGTATTGGAGTCCAGCAACAGCAAATTTACGTAACATGGTGGTTTCTGTGCTGGGGATCAGACCAATAACACCGCTCACCATCGTCTTGGACCGTTTGTTTGCTGGTGAGGTAAAACTCACGTATGCACATTTAATTACCGGTTTATCCGTTCCTTCATTTCCTACTATATAACGCACACAATAGCTGTACATCCGCTTTCAGGGAATCGTTGTGATAATGTGGTCCCCAAAGATATTGATTTGCTGATCAACCCAATTGGGGGAGCGCCAAGAGTTCGATATTGTGTCATGTTGCGCAAGCGGTTGTTGTGCTCAAATTCTTCTCCGATTAGCAAGCGCCTAAAGTTCGTCTGAAGCACATTTGTCAGTTATCCAGCTTATTCGTCTACTCCATTCAACCAAAGTCATGTGACTGCTAGCACCAACTAGGTCACGTGCATAAAACATGACCCTTGACTAACTAATTGAAACCGTTAGATAGTGCAGTTTGATGGTTCAAGCACGAGTCTCGTGATCAAATCAAATCAGCTGAATGAATGTTACATTACGTTCGTCAGATCTTGCGATTGTAGATTTTCAAGGTTACATGATATTGGTGAATCGCTCGAAATGTTCGTGTGTCATTGCTTGTCACTCGACTTTAAATTCTCATTTACTATAACCCGGAGTAGACAAGGGGCTGTGATAAAGAAAACAGCTGTACACCGGAGATAACGTAAGAAATGACCAATGGTCAATTCATTTCTGATAAAATAAATCGTCACTGAGAGTTTGTTCGGTGTCCTAATTTAGACGCGATAAGTGTGAGCAGTGTCATAAGGACCGTGGAGAAAATTGTTACTTGCCAACTATTCGTTTTCTCGCTTTTGATCGTATTTTGCGCTATGTTGATCGTCCTCCTTGACCCTCCTCTAACGTTGAACACCCGTTGGGATGGGAACGAATTTTATCCGTCCAAGAGATCTTCGCTTTGAGAGGAAGCGCTGCAGATCTGATTGCATTTGGCGCGCTGTTGCACTCCTGTACGAAATTGGTACCACACATCATATCTCTTTTTGTGTTCATTACCAGACACCATTTTGGTCTGGTGTCTTTGTGATCGTTTTCGATTTTTAACGAGAGCATTGCATTCACTTTACCATCTTGATCAGTGACTTACTGTCTAAGCTTAGCGTTATCAGCCGACTGTATCCAAATTGGTTATCTTTCCAACCGTGTGTGATTGCCATTTTTTACTGCTGCTTCTCATGTCGACGCATCATCCAGACACAGGTTTTGTGTGGCATTATATCGCTGCACTATTGGGTGCACTGTGGTTTCAAATCCCGTGTTTAATTGTTGTGCCAGTACAACAGTATGCTAGAAAAATACATTTAGATCAGTAAGGTGTGAGGAAATTTGCGGTTGGGTTTATCTGCGTGAACTCATACCGTACTGCATTGATTGATGTCCAGAGCACCCACGATCGTCCAATCCCGAGCAACGCCTGATCGGAGCAGTATGAGATGAATTGTATACTGCTGTGTTTATCCCCCTGATCGTGTGAAAATCCTTGTCTTGCTGGTTTCCCAAAGCGTCTCTCTTCGAACGGGTGTTTGAATCCATCCAACTATGATTTTTTGTTGCATGTACATACATGCACTATAATCCTTTAATCTTGCTACTTCAATGAATGATAAGCAGTGTTAGCTCAGTTTCGTTGTTGTATGTTTGTCACACATAGTTGTTTTTGTGTTCTACTCCACATTGAAATCGGCTACGGTTCACCTTGCATCAATAAAAATACCCCCTTCTAGAACAATGCACTTCAGTTCAGTTCTTACAACCATTAACCATGCACTTTAGTGCGCCGGTTTAGGTTGCTGTCTTTTGCTGCTCCATTTGGATAAAAGAGCAAAAAGAAGATTGGAATGTTGAAAGCAAATTCAAGCGGCAGATAAAGAATTCATATAGAATGGTGTTAGGGGGAATAATGAGTGGATGCACCATTGCCATTGTTTGTGACATCCAGCCATGTCGCTCAGTGTAACTATCCATCGGTGACCATCATCCCGAGGTCCCCAGCCAGGAAGTCTAACGGGGCCTATGTGACCTATTTTTCTGGTTAGGGTTTCCACACCCTCATGTCAGGTCTTCGTTTGACCACCCTTGACCCTTTTCCAACCGCCACCTGCCTCGGCAAACATCGCTCGCCGTAGCAATCTATTAGGTGACATGCGTAAAACATGCCCCAACCAACGTAAACTATGGAGTTTGACCACTTGCTCCAGTGGACGACCGCGACTGCCCAAAACTCTGCGCCTAACCTCAGTATTGCACGTCCGGTTACCCCACCAGACTCGTGCAATGCGACGTAGACAGCGGTGTTCGAACACCGACATTCTATTTTTATTCTGTTCCCGTATTGGCCAAGTCTCTGCACCGTAGAGCACTACTGACCGAACTGCTGCAGCATATACTCGACCCTTCACAGACAGCCGGAAGTCGCGTCGGCGCCACAGATATCTCAAGTTAGTGGAAACCAACCGAGCCTTTTGTATACGCGCCGATACTTCATCTGTGATGCGTCCGCCAGGTGTGACAGCTGCCCAGATAACAAAATTTGTTTACCTCATTGAGACTGGGTGCTGGACCAACCCAGTCTTGTAGTAACATTTTACACTTCGAAGGTGCAAAACGTATGCCGAACATGGCTGCACTAGCACTCAAACTATCCAGAAAAGCTTGCAACTTAGCTGGATCTTCATTTAGTAGCACAATGTCGTCTGCATACTCCAGATCAGACAGTCTGTCACTTGGGAGTAAATCGATACCGCTATCCCCGCGTGAGGATAGGGATGTTTCAAGAAATAAATCTATCACGAAGTCAAATAGAAACTTCGAGAGAGAGAGGACAACCCTCTCCGTAATAAACTCAGGTGAAAAAGTGTCGTAAGCTCGGACTCGAAAGCCGCCTTCAGATCGATGAAGAGATCGTTGGTCTACGAAAGGAGTGTCCGTGTTCTAGAATTTGACGAAGAGTGAAGATGTGGTCGATACAACCTCGGCCAAGTCCGAAACCAACCTGGTTCTCACGCGTACACGGTCCACGTGCGGTAGACAATCGACGGAGTATGATCCCAGAGAGAAGTTTAGATGCAATGTTGATTAAATTACTTCCTCTGTGGTTGTCACAAGAGGATCTGTCGCCCTTCTTGTAAATCGGTATGATCACCGATTCACACCATTCAATTTAAACCTCTTTCGTCCCACTCCGAGCCCAGGAGTTTTGTTCAATCCAAACCAAGGCTGAACCCTCATCCTTAAAAACCGATGACGACAGCCCGTCGGGGCCAGAAACCTTATGTTGTTTGATATAACTTATTTCCCTGTTCACCACCATTCCAGATGGAGGACTGGTGTCAACTGACAGTATTTGCACAGTTGAAGCGGGGAAAGGGAGGTCTTGTGTCGACAGGGACTAGATGAACTGTGACTTAAAATGTTCTACCCAACGTTCAAAACGGCGTTTCTGAGTTTGGATCATTGTGCCGTCAGACTCCTTAATTACCTCACTTACGCCTACTTTCCTTGAACCTGTGCTCCTAATTAAACGAAAAAGATTGCGACTATTACCGTTAGCCGCAGCC